TCTGTTACTATGCAACCAGTCTTGCACCCCTTCCCTTCCCCACGACAGCGTTGGGGTTCCGCTTCATGAATGGCTGACAAATGCATGCGTCAATAAACAATCCAAAGTTATTATCGTCGGCGTCCTGCAGGATGAATGAAGTGGGAGCCGAAGCAGCCCACTGTTGACCACGACGGTGGCATCGGAGGTCGCACTCCGGAAAGAACCTGCGCGGGCGACATGGTCCAAGAAGGACCAGTAGCGGTGGACTGGGTGGGAGAGAAACCAGCGCGGGTAACATGGTCCAAGAAGGACCAGTGATAAGAGACTGGGGGGGGGGGGGGGGGGAGACGGGCCAGCGTGGGGGACAAGGTTCAAGGACCAGTGGCGGTGGGCTGGGTGGGAAAAAGACCAGCGCGGAGGACTTGGCCCAGGAAGGACCGGTGGTGATGGACTGGGTAGAAGAGAGACCAGCGCGGGGGACATGGTCCAAGAAAGACCAGCGGCGGTGGATTGGGTCCAGGGTGTCATTAAAGGGTCATAGATTGAGGCCCAGGCACGGTTCTGACACTGTCTAGTGACTGGGGACCGGACTTCGGAAGTCGTCGGCGATGACGTTGGAGATGGGGGTCCGAATTCGGTCGTGGGATACGCCAGAGGCTCACCTGGTCCGAGAGGAGCTTCTGACGGATTAAGAGCTCCGCCTGGTCCGAGAGGAGTTTCTGGCGGCTTTAGAGGTCCACCTGGTCCGAGAGGAGTTTCTGGCGGCTTTGGAGGTCCGCCTGGTCCGAGAGGAGTTTCTGGCGGCTTCAGAGGTCCGTCTGGTCCGAGAAGAGCTTCTGGCGGCTTTAGAGGTCTGCCTGGTCCGAGAAGAGCCCCTGGCGGCTTAAGAGGTCCGCCTGGTCCGAGAAGAGCTCCTGGCGGCTTCAGAGGTCCGCCTGGTCCGAGAAGAGCTCCTGGCGGCTTTAGAGGTCCACTTGGTCCGAGAAGAGCTTCTGGCGGCTTTACCGGCTGGTGTCTGAGGGGGTCCGTTGGCGGGTTTATAGGCTAGGGTCCGGAAGGGGTCGCTGGCGGCTTTACCGGCTGGTGTCCGAGGGGGTTCGTTGGCGGCTTTATAGGCTAGGGTCCGGAAGGGGTCGCTGGCGGATTTAAAGGCTGGTGGCCGAAGGGGTTCGTTGGCGGCTTCATAGGCTAGGGTCCGGAAGGGGTCGCTGGCGGATTTACAGGCTGGTGGCCGAGGGGGTTCGTTGTCGGCTTTATAGGCTAGGGTCCGGAAGGGGTCGCTGGCGGATTTAAAGACTGGCGGCCGAAGGCGGTCGTTAGCGGCTTTAGAGAGTGGTGTCCGAAAGACGCCGCTGTTGGCTTAAGAGGCTGACGTCTGAGGAACGGCAGCTTGTGGCGAGGTTGGCGGCCCACGCTCGTCCGAAAGATCTTGATGGGGGCGTGAGAGGCCTTCTCTGAGAGGCCTCAAGCCGCGACTTGGCGGGCCTGGCTCTTCAGGACCTGTGTGACCTCTGCGCACCTTCGTGTCCTGGTTGGGCAGAGCGCCAGCCTTAAGATCTTGAGGCTGTGGAGCTTACCTCCGTCATCGCTGCAGCCTCCGATGGTGTCAATGCCCGCCTCAACGCTATGCAGGTTCGCAAAGCTAATCTGGATCTCATGGATATCACATAGCTCACCTGGACACATGAATATGACATGCAACGATCGTTGTAATCATTGGCAGGCCCGGGTCCAGCATGGGCCAGTCACGGCATCTCGTGTGTGGATCCCAGAGAGGACATTACCGGCGTTTGATGGCTCGGTCTGGGACCAAGCTGTAGCAGACCGGGGAGGGGGGGGGGGGGGGGGGGCAGAGTGTGGCAAGGACCGGTAGGACGCCGGTTCTCTTGAATCAGAGCGAGGAATAATGGTGTCTCGAGCACCATGGCTCCAATAGCAATCGCTGGCCAGCATTGCGATGTGGCCGTTGTAGAAATGTGAGGTGACTTGCACGTATGCACTGAAAGTTAATGCATGAGGTTGAATGGCGTGCTGTATTAATCTGCAGTTATCCATATAAGTTCAGGGTCGGTATCATGTCACGTTAAATACTGCGCTTCGGTTTTTCACATAATTCTCTCCGCATTGCAATGATGTGAGATGAGCAAGATGTGAAAAGTTGGGGATCGCTCTCTGCAATGGCTGGGTGCAAGTCGGTAAATCAGGAGGTTCGGGCCCCCCAGCTTCATGATCCCACACCTTTGGCCAGGTGCACAGTATCCGTATATGGTGGTTCCTGGTAATATCCAAACCCGCAACCATGGGCCCTTCAGGGAGGGTGGAGGACGGAGATAAGTGAGCACTCATACAAGAACCAAAGGGGTCATCGATGATGACCAAGTAGAAGAAAAGCGGCCTGAGGGCGGTGGGGGGGGGGGGGGTCTCCCCCTGGTTGTGCCCCTGGTTACAACCCAGCCCAGGAAAGCCCACTGATCAGATAATCTGCTTTCAGCCGGCCTCACCAACCGGGTAACACGCAGAGCAGAGCAGGACAAAACGTCGCGGACCATGGGGAAATCCAGCTTTCTACACCAGAGCTTTGCTACTCGCTTCAAACCACCCCCGACTCCATCTCATTCCGCGGGCAAGCGCGCCCCTGCCTGTCAGGTTGACTCATGAATGGGCAGGCTCACGCCCCGGCAGCGCGCGGCCGTGCCCGTCAATACCCCCTGGCGGCCGAATGGCGCCTTCGCCGCTGTCGAGACGAGCAGCGACGCCGCCTCAGGGGCAGGTGCTTGCTGGAAGGTGACGTCAGTGTTGCCATGGGGACGGTGTGCCGCGTCGTCGCGCTGGGCGACCGACGCGGCGACGGGCTCTGCATGGGATGGCAGGAGTGTCCGGGGAGGTGTCGGGAGGCGGGGGGGGGGGGGGGGGGGGGGGGAGGGGGCAGGACGGATTTACCGCTTGTGTCACGGGGTGCGCGTGGGTGGAGAACGCGGCGTGGCAGGTGTGGCAGCGACCGCACCAACTTTCGTAAAAAATAGAGTAATTTTAACGCTGTCTTTGAGGATGTCCCAGCAACTGTGCAGCAGTAAGTTTCCTCATTACTCTGCACCCGAGGTCGTACAGAATGAAAGCGTGGGAGTGGCCGCCTTGGTCATCATCGGTCAGCACATCGCCGTCATCCCACGCTGGCGGGACGAAGATCCAGGCTTCAGGCAAACATCCGTACGGAGCGTGGGTTCGATTCCCACCAAAGGCTAGGAGTATTTCTACGATGGGGAGGCATCATTACCGTGGAGTTCCGCGTCGTAGCATTGTATGCACAGGAATAAAGATTTGCGGCACAGCTTTGCAAGCAAGCCAGCACGAATTCATTCGAAGGCCCCTAGCACTTAAATCATGGGTCCATGTTCGCGGGACAAGCTTTGCCCAGCGATGTCTCGTCGTTTTTCGCCGCCGAGGGGAACAATTTTCAAGTGTCTAAGCATGATTTTTAAAAAAGTGTCGTGAGGGGCCACCCAGAGCGAGACATGAATTGAGAACACGACGGGGCACGTGAGGTATTGGCCACACCAGAGGCGCCAATGTTTGTTTAGTGATTTGGTTTAGTCGAACCGAGGTCCCGATGACGTAGCCTCGACACGAGTGTATATTTCTGAGCGGACTCTGCCCACTTCATTTTGACGAATGGTAGCTTGTGTTTTTTTATTTTGGTGTTATAAATCAAGCAGTCCTTAATTTGCGGAGCACAGTAGTTACGGCCAGAAGGTCATGGGTTATGGGTTGATGATGGGTTATGGGTGATGGGTTATGGGTTCATCTTGTTATGAACAAGTTGGGTTATGTGAGGTGCACAACTTTTCCGCATATTTTTGTGATATTCCAGCCTAAAATACTGGGGATCCGCACCAGCATCGGAAGGGCCAGACTCAACGCTAGCGGCCTTACGACAAAATTTCAAATCCACACCCCTGGACAACATCAACGTTAAGTCCAACAATCATTCTCAACAAATAACGTTTTCTGTTTTCCATTCAACGCCGGTCTTGTCGGTATTTTGGCCGCTCGAACATCTCTCAATGCTGTACATTTGTGCGTATGCCGCCACTTCGGTTTGTCCCTCTGAGATGCGCATCCTTTGTCTGCGACGGGTCTGGACCATCGTCAGGTCCGCGACGAGCTGTTTGCAAAAATTACACGATTTCCTCGTCGTCAGAATTACATCAGCAACGTTCACTGACTGGTAAAGTGGAAGCGGTGTCCACTCGTCACGACGCCAGCCGTACGCATGCATCGAAAAATAACACCCGACCTCCACCCATAAACGCCTAATGATCACACCACGCTCCCACAAATCATGTCAAAAGTGCTGAGCGGGCGACTTAATCTACTTCTGTAAGAGCCGCTGAAGGACACGTGCCGGCCGCCGCCCCCGCCCGGTGAAGAGCTGCCGGCCGCCGAGGAGCCGGGCCGCCCGCCGCCCGTCCGTCCGATAGCGCCGCCGTCGAGCACCGCTGCACTTTGGGCGCCGCGGCGCCGCAGAAACCGCGCCTTATAAGGCCATGTTGCAGGCGGCGGGCCCGGCTGTCAACAGCGGCGCGTCCGTATCAGCGGGCGCGATAGCGGGGCGGCGGCAGAGGCGCGCGCAGTCCGCCGCCGCCCCGCCCGCCCGCCGACGCCGACGCTGGAGCCGGCGCCGGCGCTGCTGGACGGGCACCGCCCGAGCCTAAAGGCACGGGCTGCTACGCACACCGCTGGCCATCGAAACGAGATGCGAGTGGGGTGCTGATTGGACGACTTCCCAATCATGCTCTCCAATGAATGCAATGGACGCGTTACCGGGACGAGGTGGCTGTCCGTGCACGAGCTCCTGTCGTGTATGCCCCTTCCTTTTCACGCACACGAATTTACGAGTCCACGGGCATGACGTCATCAGGGCTACCCAGTCGTGCCGGCTCAGCCGCCCACCGGGTAGCCGCAGCCCGCGCGGGAACAGGTCTGACGGCCGGGGGAGGGGCGGCCGGCCGGCCCCGGCCAGAGCCGCCCCTGCGCGGCCGTATATACCGGCCGGCCCGGCGTCAGGCCGTCCTTCTGCCATCTGCCGTGACGACGGGCGGTCCGCGAGCGAGGGGTCAGCCACCGGTGAGTGGTCAGGGTCACGGAAAGGGGCGAGGGCAGGGGCCAGGGGTGGTTGGAGGGAGAGGGAGGTCAGCCGCCGGTGAGTGGTCAGGGTCGCGGCAGATGGGGGGAGAAGGGGATGAGGCGAGGGGGATCCATGGGACGGGCTGGAGGGAGAGTAGCTACGGACAGAGGGCCCTCGCAAGGGTGAGCTCAGCGTGGAGGACGAGGTTTGGCTGGCATGTGGTGCGTGAAAAGCCCCCCCCCCCCCCGCCCTCCCTCCGCGCGAATTGGCTGAGTCACCGATGTCATGGCGAGGCCGAAGGAGAATTCCCGGAGAGAGGCAACATTCTCGGACACGGTCGTCCCATGTTAAGTGCGTGCCCGAGGAGGAAAGTAAATAAAATCAGAATGGCGCACGCAGCGCCCTGCGTTGATCTGTCGCGGCTGTCGCATCGGAGCCGGCGGCGCGCGAGGGGCGTTCTGAGCACCGGCATGGGCGTGGCCGGGCGGACGCACCGGCACAGATGAGAGGCGCCCCTGCCTCGCCGCCGGACCGGCAGCCGGTTCTGCCTGGAATTGAGGCCAGCGCCGGTCGGAGCGGATAACAGACGGCCTGTCCTGACGTGGCCCAGACCTCGCACGAGCCGATCGGCTGTCTTCAGACTGCTTGGCGATACCGGGGTGCGGTTCATGCGCATTTTGGGGATGCAAGCTGTCAAAGGTGGTGGGCTATAGACGAGACTGGGAGACAATTTACTGACATGAATATCAAAAAGGGAAATTCGATGATTTTCGCACAGGGAAATGTTACTTTCACCGAAAGGCGCCGCTCCCTGAAAGACTCTCGCCACTAGTGGCCATTTCTACCTCGAAATATGCGTTTATTTTTGCTGCCAGCAGATGCCAACGAAAAAACGGGGGGGGGGGGGCGACATTCTATGACGTCTGCGTACGGTGCCTAGTTTCAAGACAGATCAGAGGGTAATGCGTTCTGGTTGGCGCTGCGTTCCGTCAGTTTTCAACCACCATGGCTGTCTTAAGGGGGCAAGGACATCTTCAGGAGCGGCGGAGTAAAAGTGCTGCTAAGCGCGGCTTAAAATTCCGCTCGCGCCATATTTCGCCCATGAGCTCATGTCGCGCTCAGCATCAACGACCAACCGTTCAACTGTGTCAAAATGGCGGTGGGGCGGGGTGGCTCCTGGGCTGGCGGCGAACGTGGCGCGCTGCGCCGAGCCGCGGGCCGGCGGCGGCCGGCGCCCGGGGCGCGGCAGCCGGCGCGCCACGCTCGCCGCGCCGCGCCGCCCTCGCCGCCGCCGGCCGGCGCCCACCCTCGCCGCCGCGGCCGCCGCCCAGCCCCGGCACACCACCACTGGACGTCGCGGCGGCAGGTAGGGTGCCGGGGGCGGGACGCGGCTGGGACGTCGGGGCGGAGTGGGAGTGCTGTGCCGGGATGCGAGCGAAGGGCCTCATGCGCGGCTGGAAGGCGTGGCGGTGTTCTGGTGTGCCCGCTTGATGGGGTGATGCTAGCAGGCGGAGTGTTTGTTGACGGTCGACATAGATGGAGGGTGGGGTATGTTGGTGTTGGCTGCGGGGTCACACCAACTTACTTTTAACGAGACCTTATTATGGTGCTCCGCCAATGGATCGCGAAACCTTAACCTTAACCTTAACCTTATCATCCTGCGCCCTCCGCCATGGACGCATACTCGTTTCCTCGGGTTTACTTTCACCCCCTCCTTCTCCCTGTACATTAGGCCGGTCGTGACTGAGCGGCAGGCCTCAGTACGACCCTCGTAAATCTGTTGACTTGACCCCAGTGCGAGACAGTCGACAGCCTTGTTTCGAGCTCGGCATGGCTCGTTCCGTTCGTCCAACCGGCGGTAGGGCCGGAGTCTGATGCCCTATGACATTCCGAGTAATAGTTGTATTGCGCTGTTCTGCTGACCCTCCGATCCTGTTTGCTGCTTTAGGCTCCTTCGTTTCCCGTATCATTTTATTTCGTCGTCGTCTCCTGCTCAATTTGGTGTCATGAATTTAGAGTACTTTGCTGCCAGTAATCGACCTTTAGTATACCAGGAGGCACTGGTTAGGGGCGTTATCCAACGTTAGAAGATGCTGGTATATGAACGTCAAGGATAAGTTGAACATTGTAATTTAAACATTTGAGCGAACACTGATTATGTTGTTACAAACTTGACGGCTTAAGCTGCGCTCATGGTCACGAGGGGCCATGACCATAGCTTGAAACGTCGAGCTCTGACAAAGCAGCCAAATTTTGCTCAATACGTCGTTTAGCCAGTACCTGCTGGTATAGCGAAGGTTGATTATTGTCAGTGCGAGAAATGGGAACTCTCATAGAACCAAAGCGCCTGGATCTCAAGGCCTTTTTTCTCATATCAAGCCGCTCAGTTTATTCAGCTTTCGTCGGTCGTGTCATGGGGCGCGAATGTGTTGACCCCGCCCCCTCCCCCTCCCCAGCCGCGTGAGTCGGCAGGTCTGTTATCCGCCCTTCCCCCTCCCCTCCCCTTCCCCCAGTCGAGGGTCGCGTCATACGGGGCCGGCTTCAGTTTATGTAACCTCAGAGCTGTCGATTTGTACCCTCCTGGCGGCGATATCCTATCGAACAAGCCCCGGCGGGTCAGAAGCGCGCCCGCCCGGTCATCGCTGCCGCCTATCGCAGATCCGCCCACTCCACCTGTTTGAGCCGGATCGGGGCGATAGGGAGAGGCCCCCCGTCGCCTGCGTGCTTCAACTGAGCCCCTTATCGTGCCCGGAGGCGGTCTCGGGCCGGCGGCGGCGTGCCCAGCCGGGCTTATCGCGACCGGCCGCGGCGCGCCCGCGCGCACCATATAAGACAATGCATTCCGCCGGTGCCCCTCCCCCTCCCCTCCCCTCCCCAGCCCCAGCCCCAGCCCCAGCCCCAGCCCCGCCCTGCGGTCCCGTGACGACAGAGGGCGCAGGACTGGCGGGGGGGGGGGGGATGGAACGTGACGTGGGTACAGCGGGACTGGGTCAGAGCATAACGTGGTGGGAGGCGGCCCGGCAGGTACTGTGGCGGTGGGCAGATAGGGACGCTGCTGGGTCACGGGGTGGGGGGTGGGGCGTAAGGAGTCGACTCTGTGGTGGTTGTGGTGGGCTGAGCCAGGTCAGGGTGGGATGGGGTTGGGTCAGACCTCTGGGGGTAATGGGTTGTGGTTATGATGATGGGTGGCTTTATTAGGCTAGGTGACTGGGGCACACGCAAATTAAGGCAGCGTGCGCAGCTAACAGCGCGCTAAACATGCATCTTTTGACCGTCTTCAGGCTCCATGGTGCTACTAATTGTATCCGGCATTATTGCCCGGTCGGCTTGACCCCATGGCCGGACCTGTTCTAAACCTGTTCTGTCTCGTGACACATTTCGTCGAAGTTCCGGCACAAAAACTATTCCGTTGGCTCCCATCGTGTAGTTCTGATCTGTGCAGTTGGCATGCTATCGATGGAGTTGTCACTCGTTTTCCATGCTTTGTAGTTTCGCCAGGTCAGTGCCTGACTGAGTACCAGTGTTAGAGATAATTCAGCATATGTTTGCCTATCGATGTTTTTCTTAGAACGGATACTTTCTATGCTTTTTTTCTCGATCGACACGAGGAAAATTTGTAAAGCGGTCATAATGGAGCTAATGCTTCCTTTTTGTTGCTCTCGTCCAGTGTCGTATACGAGTGCAAAAGGTGGCAGGGCCGGACCGCAAGTCCATTATTTCCGTGCCTCGCCGTGCGCTTAATGTTAAACTTACAACAACAACAAAAACGATTGTCGATGGCCACCTGCCCCTCCGCGACTCTTAGATCCGCGCTCTCATCGAAACTCCTTTCAACCTTCGAAACACTGTTATGGTCTTGAAAGAGAAGAGTATACTGTGTTATTACTTGTGTCTTGTTCACATGTTACTGAACGAGTTGGACAGGTTTACGAGCGGAGAAAATCCCACGATTAGCTCTGTGAGAATTGACAAACCTAGCGTTGTTTTTATTCTGTGTGTAGGAGCTGAGATCTAGAGATTAATGAGGCTCTTTTCGCCACGATAGCGAAATGTCAATGCAACACTTTAAGCATTTCTCAGAATGGCACGTGCCAATCTTTGAATCTTACTGCAGGGAGTTGTCCAGATAAGAAACCGCGTGCAGGCACGAGACGAGGCTTCAATTTCACCAGAAATATTTGCAGATTCATATTTTGCCATGTACTTTCAAACAGTTGTTAGAAGCGGGATTTTCGTACGTGTGCGTCTTTAGTCATAATTGTGCCGTCCTTTGTGATCAACTGCCTGTCTGTCATTTCAGTGACTTGTTGAACCATCAACTCTGCAAACATGTGCGACGACGAGGTTGCCGCTCTGGTGGTCGACAATGGCTCCGGCATGTGCAAGGCCGGCTTCGCCGGAGACGACGCGCCCCGTGCCGTCTTCCCCTCCATCGTCGGCCGTCCCCGTCACCAGGGCGTGATGGTCGGCATGGGACAGAAGGACTCGTACGTTGGCGACGAGGCCCAGTCGAAGCGAGGCATCCTGACTCTCAAATACCCGATCGAGCACGGCATCGTCACCAACTGGGACGACATGGAGAAGATCTGGCACCACACGTTCTACAACGAGCTGCGTGTGGCGCCCGAGGAGCACCCGGTGCTGCTGACGGAGGCTCCCCTGAACCCGAAGGCCAACCGCGAGAAGATGACCCAGATCATGTTCGAGACGTTCAACACCCCCGCCATGTACGTGGCCATCCAGGCGGTGCTCTCGCTGTACGCCTCTGGCCGCACCACCGGCATCGTGCTCGACTCTGGCGACGGCGTGTCCCACACCGTGCCCATCTACGAAGGTGAGCAGCAAAACCATGCATCTCGACTTCATGGGCAATCACCAGGAATTTGTGTTGGACGAAGTAACGGTTTCGCGACGCTGTATTGCAAATTACTGCTCCTGATTTTTTAATTCAATTTCTTATTTATATTTAAGGAATTAAAACCTCCATCGCTTCAAGTAATATACACATTAGAATTGGCATGTCTTGCATGTATTTACAAAATATTTCAGTGTTGCATTAACCTAGGTACTGTGACAGCGTCCTGACATCCGTGTGTGTGTGTTTCAGGTTATGCGCTGCCCCACGCCATCCTGCGTCTGGACCTGGCCGGCCGTGACCTGACCGACTACCTGATGAAGATCCTGACGGAGCGCGGCTACAGCTTCACCACCACCGCCGAGCGGGAAATCGTGCGCGACATCAAGGAGAAGCTGTGCTACGTGGCGCTGGACTTCGAGCAGGAGATGGCGACGGCGGCCAGCTCGAGCAGCCTGGAGAAGAGCTACGAGCTTCCCGACGGCCAGGTGATCACCATCGGCAACGAGCGCTTCCGCTGCCCGGAGGCCCTGTTCCAGCCGTCGTTCCTGGGCATGGAGTCGTGCGGCATCCACGAGACGACGTACAACAGCATCATGAAGTGCGACGTGGACATCAGGAAGGACCTGTACGCCAACACGGTGCTGTCTGGAGGCAGCACGATGTACCCGGGCATCGCCGACCGCATGCAGAAGGAGATCACGGCGCTGGCTCCGAGCACGATGAAGATCAAGATCATCGCGCCGCCGGAGAGGAAGTACTCTGTCTGGATCGGCGGCTCCATCCTGGCCTCGCTGTCGACCTTCCAGCAGATGTGGATCTCCAAGCAGGAGTACGATGAGTCTGGCCCCTCCATCGTCCATCGCAAGTGCTTCTAGATGCATTCCAGTGTCATTGTTTGTTGTGATGTTGTAAAGCTTAACCGACTCTAATATACCAAATATCCGCAGAAGTGTTTTATTTATAAGCTTGGTTAAAGGATGACTTGCCAATGAAACCGACGTTGCTGGACTGCGATGTCGGCAATAACAGTACCATCAAACTGAGGCAAGTGGCACTAAAATGCAAGCAAACGCTTAAGTCAGACACACAGATCAGCGAAACGTTTGGTATGCGTCGATGCCTAGGGTAACAAAGATGTCAGTTGTCAATTGTCATGATTCCACCCTTTTTAGCGTCGCGTTTTTAGACGAATGACTTCTCTCAGGATTATATTTCCATATAGAAGAATTGAAGAGCTTTGCACCCGTGCGTTTTAACGCGCATACGCCGAGTCCCAGCCGCGTGGGACAAACGCTAACGAGAACGGAACTTGACTGCGATGCAGCAGCCCTTTCGCGAGTAGTTAGGTTGTCAAGGCAGATGTAAGAGGAATGAAACTGTGCTTAAAAGATGAAGAAGAAAGAAGCAAAACCTCTGGAACATCAAAGCTGCTTGATCAAGAGTATGCCACTACACTCCAGAACAGCAGCCAACGGTCCCAATGACACTACAGACCTACATCCCACGCCAGTTCGTCTTTTGGGCGTACCAATTAATACGACCATTAAGCACGGCACGTCAGAGCTTCATCTCTTTAGGGTCTTGCCATTACGTCTGCGGCCGCGGGCCAAGTGGGCCTTACTTCAGCTGTGAGAACATTTGGACGGCTGGGCTGTGAGAACATTGGTACGGCTCGGCTGTAAGAGCATTAGGATGGCTCGGCTGTGAGAACATTTGGACGGCTCGGCTGTGAGAACATTACAACGCTCGGCCTCGTCCGGCCGTCACGCTTTATACAAATCAACATCTTTGCAAGCACTGTTTGCATGTGCACCTAGCTTGGGTAGCAGGAAGATCAATTCTTAAACAGCTGTGCTGCACCAACTGCTACGCGTTTAGATGCGCGGTCATAAGGTGGGCTTTCAAGCGAGCAGCAGATTCTAATGGGGAAGGACAAACAATAATGTGGGCAAAAGAGCCGACTGATGTTTGCAGAAGTTCGTGCGCTGTTGTGCGTGAACGATTGGTCTGCTCAGTTTGGGCGTTTCAGGCATTAATGAGAAAACATATCTGATTGAAAGATATCGATTTTAGCGATTCACATTGTCAGGCTTATCGAGTGTCGTAGCCAACCGATGTTCAAGTCACGTTACTTGTGAAATCTGCAGACGAATGCCTTCCCACCAAACTTCTGCCCATCAAAATCCCTCAAAAGATGGGCTTTTTCATTCATTGACCAAACCGATTGAGCTGGGTCGCCAAATATGTCTGGCTTCGCTAGCTTTGTTTTTTTGGCGCCATCCACAGAATGACAACTGATCATGCTCACGCGTTCGTGTGTTATCACCATATGGAAGCAAAGCCCAGTCGCGCGTTTAAAACGCTAATCGCCACGGAGAACGGTGCCGCGTCTCAGCGGAGAGGCACGCCATTCAGATCCCTGTTGCCGCTTGGCGGAACAACTGCGGCTACGGCCACGTCACATGGCACGTGGTGAGCGCGTAAGTGGGGCGTCGCAGCGAAAACAACGGGGCTCCGACGCGTCCATTCCGGCTGATGAGCGGCCACACTCGGCCCAATTATAGTACTTCTCGTAAATAGGCGTCACAAAGCGGACCGTCACAGACCAGATCTGTAAGTGGAGGACACGTCGTGGCACGTGTGGCAGTGGCGAGACGAGTCGCGCACAAAGCAAGCGCAATTCTAACTTTTTCACGCTGGAAGTTTTTTCCTCCGGTAGTTTTGCCACACACACACACTTTCTCGACGTCTCCACTATGGTGCGCGTTTCTGGATCTGCGCGGGCAGACACAGGAGGAGCAGCCACCGCGGACATCGGCACGGCTGTCAAGGAGTGAGTGTAATATAATGCCTTCCCTACATACACTCTGGCTACCCTTGAAAAAGAGAGCAATGTAGCTGAACGAACGGCATGAATGGTGCATCGTGCCATTGCCCGGCGTGACGGATTTCCACATGGTGAAAATAGACCTGCGTTAAACGCCGACGGTACCTGCTCACTTGCTGGTCAGCTGGTGCCGAATTTCTGAGTTCACCACCGTCTCTCTCTTGTCTTCAGTCGCATGCATCCGCAGTCAATGGGTGTTCATGTCACAACGAAAGCAACATCGCAAACATAGAATCGCCGCCACACACCAGTAAAAATATGCATCCATACCAAATAAGTCCATGGCCCAAAATGAATATGAAATGGGCCCGAGTTGCGTTCACGGGACTGATTCATCTCAGCGCACGGGCTGCTGTGCTGCCATATGAGTCCGTCGGGCCTTGGCTCCAGCTTCATCCATCATCTGACGGCACCTTTGTCATCATGATCGTTGGGTGGGTGTCTGATCTGATGGGTGTCACATCACAGGAGACTGACCTCTGTGCCCCACAGTCTGCTGCACGAAGGAAGGGTTCAGGAAGGAAGGGGCAGTGAAGGGTTCGACGGCAGCCGAGGCCGAACTGCCCTTGATAATTCGTCAGACGCGCAAACTAGGCATGATTTAAGATTCTTTAGGCGGTTTAAATGGATCAGAGGCCTTGGCCACTACCGGGCTGCGAGCTCTTAAAGGCCCCGCCCAAGGTCATCTTGGGGCCCATCGCCCCGACGGCCACCTGGTGGTCTCGACTGGTGGCCTTGGTGGCTTTTGGTTTGGTCGTTTCTGGACCGGTCCGTGGGCACCTTGGCGATTTTGAAGGCGCGATGAACGCTTCGGGCAGCATAGACCAACTGAGGGCACCTAACTTTCGGCACCAACCTGTAATGGTAAATCCGATTATTGGGCCCGTCGCTAGCGGGATCACCTGGTGGTCTCGGCAGCCTTGTCAGGACTCCTCGACTTAGGAGAGAGAGAGAGAGAGAGAGAGAGAGAGAGAGAGAGAGAGACAGAGAGAGAGAGAGAGAGAGAGAGAGAGAGAGAGAGAGAGAGAGAGAGAGAGAGAGAGAGAGAGAGAGAGAGAGAGAGAGAGAGAGAGAGAGAGAGAGAGAGAGAGAGAGAGAGAGAGAGAGAGAGAGAGAGAGAGAGAGAGAGAGAGAGAGGGAGAGGGCGAGAGCTGACATTTCTGGAGGCTTTCGATCACATCGGAACCCTTATTTTGGTTTTAATGCTGATATGTGACCCCGTTAAAGGGAGTATTTCACATTTGTATGGGCTTTTGAATTCAAACAGACATCATGGAGATCGCTCTGTGCGGTTCACAGCCCTGCTCTTCTGAAGACTTAAACCCCTCTAGTTTTTAAGCTATACGCCGGCGAAGATTTGCGTATTGTATCGGGGTCACTATTTCAAGGTCATCTAGGAACTCATGGCGCTATAACAACGTCATTTATGTCCTGCCCTTTCATTAGTCGTGCGGCGATCAAGGCCAATCAAACTATAATTGTCAAGACGTTCATATCTGGCGTTCATGAGCACGATTACCAGACATAACGGCCGTCAACTGGCTCTCAATCAATGTTGTGCACGGTACGATGACGCTATTAAGCAATGGCGTATCAAGGAGCGCATTTGCTACACAGAAATTGCGTTGCCTAGAGCAGTCTTTTCCACTTAAAGATATACCACTGATTGTAAGCGAGTTTATTTCATCATATCTGATGCTTACTTTAATATGTTCTAATGTGAAACATTCCCTTTAAGGCCTTGAGTAATGATTCTGCACACAACCCATTGAAGTCTTGAATATTGTGGCCGTGCGCTCTTTGAGTTATCTATTCTTATTTAACCTTGAACTTCAGAGCTGTTTTGATCCCTGCAGAACCGCATGAAAATTTGTGAATCTTGACTGATCCCCGGGCTTTATGCCTTGCCCGCCCGCTCATAATCCACACAGCTTTTAAAGTCGTTCGCTTCCTCGAGTGAGCCCTATGATTTGTTCGTCTGTTGTTGATCCAAGGTTCATGCATTCAGAGCTGTTCTCACGAAAATCAGCCCATGGCGAATACATTTTTATATTTGTATATACTATATATTATAAATATATATACATATGTATACATACATATATATATATATATATATATATATATATATATATATATATATGTGCGTGTGTGTGTGTGTGTGTGTGTGTGTGTGTGTGTGTGTGTGTGTGTGTGTGTGTGTGTATATGCACGTGTGTGTGCATCTGTGTGCCGGATTGATTCGCCGAGGAGCAATTCCGTGTGAGCCGCTTCGGATGTACGTTACATCAATGACGGTAAAACAAAATAGTTGTGTTTATCCGGGTTAGCAGACCACTTTCCACATTATGTACTCTTTGAGCGGCCCCCAAGGGTGAACTGGGGAAATTCGTCAACATAGCTCAAAAATGTTGGAGGGGCCCTGAAAATATCGTGACGTCTGTAAACCCACAGATGTTCAGCTCTCAGGTGGCTAATGTTAGAGCTTTTCATGGATCTGATAAATCGCTATGGCAATCATAAATCATATAACCAGTGGTTTAATCCATCGGTCATACTGAACAAAAATAGAATTCTCCAACGAACGCCGACCAGATTTGGATTTGCTCCAAAACTCAGCTGTGACGCGTAAATGGAGGAAATTGGGTGAAAGCGCAATGCCATTCTAAAAGGAGTGAATGCAGCTGTGTATGGTATTTTTAAGTTTATGCGAAACGTGGCTGAAATCAATTAACTGGCGTCAATTTTATAGAGGAAGAGTTGCTGCACGCAATCGAAACGCACCTGGTATGGACTTGGTAGATGGGCACTGATGCTTACGTGGGTTGGACTTGCGTTCGTGGATTTGACTCGACTGAATTCTGCGAAGTCAGCTAATAAATGGCTTTACTAGCATTGCCTGTCGGCTAATATTAGTATTACTTTTGGATGAGCCTTCTGTACGTGAATATGTCTCCTGAACTCAGTTCCTATCCATGTCGGCAAACAACAAAGTCCCCTTTCATTCAATGTGAACCACCGTCCTTGATCCCATTCCAGACTGTGTGAGCTCGAAAGGCAAT